CATCCATCCTGATGCTGCCAGTTGGTCCAGTGGTGAGAATCTTTGTCTTCTTGACATTGAGCCTCAGTCCATACTGAAGGCTGCAGTCCTTGACCCTCCGCAGCAGGCGCTTCAGGTCCTCCTCAGTTTCAACGAGCAGGGTCACGTGCCGTCTCAGATCTACTTTAGCTCACTGTTGTGGTCACTGCGTCAACCCACCTGGCTGAGCGTCTTCTTTCTCAAGACCCTTGACCATTCCAAACATGACGTCCTTCGCCAAGGAATAGCCTCTCCTAGCAACATGCCCGAAGCTTTATCGTCTTTGCCTCCAAGGAGCACTCTAAGACAAATCTGTTGCTCTTCTGGCCGTCCATGGGATATCTGGCATTGTTATCCAACACACAGCTCAAAGGCATCAACTCTTCTGTCCAGCTCTCAGATGCACAGCAAGTAACTGGGAAGGCCATGGCCTGAATCAGATGCACCTTAGTCCTCAGACTGACATCACTGCTCCTCAATAACGTAGTGAGGTCCCTGACTGCACTTGCCCAGTAAAACGTGTCTCCTGATTTCCTGACTGCTGGCGGCAAGGGTGTTGATGTGGATCCAAGCGAGATGAAATCACTGACAATTCCGACCTTTGCTCCATCTACCATGATGTTGCCCACTGGTCCAGTGGTAAGAATTTGTTTTCTCGACACTGAGAAGCAATCCACATTGAAGGTGGTCTTCTTTGATCTTCTGCAGCAAGTGCTTCAAGTCCGCCTCACTTTGAGCAAGCCAGGGTGTGTCACCTGCACAATGCAGGTTATTGATGAGTCTCCGTCCAATCTGATGCCACATTCCTCTTCAGAGTCCAGCTGCTTGAATAATTTGCTCAGCATGCAGACTGAACAGGTATGGAGACAAACACAACCCTGACACAATCCCTTCTTAAAAGAACATTAAAGGAATGAGGATAGTTATAGTGATGTTGTGGTGGAGCCCAGGCTGGAAGTCAGCTGAGATGAGGAAAAACAACGTGTTCAAAGAAGACCCACTAACTCGACTGTTATTCAAATATACGTTCCTCACCTGGAGCCAAAGAGTAAGAACCTGAGAATTTTTACCAAACCCGAAAACGTCTGAACACGCGAGCAAGAGGTGTTCATGATACTAGAACGCAGCAGTGGGAAACAGTGAAGAAACAGTAGTTGGAAAACACGGACTTAGTATTAGATAGAAAGGAAGCTGAAATAGAATTATTGAATTTTGTGTTTATAATAATTTATTCATTGCAAACACCTTTTTTTTTCTTTCATGGTGGGTGTTGGACATTTATTTACAGAGTGGGTGGGGTGTTCAGGGGCTAGTGGACCCAGGCCTCTTCTTCTTTGTATGCCTGGCTTGGGGCGCCGTCTGGCTCTGCGCGGAATCGGGGAGCTTGCGCTTGGCAGCGGCCTCCAGAGCAGCCCACAGCTGATCCGTCTCTGTGTCTTCTGGGCACTTCTTGGGCTCTGGAGACTCCTGAGGCCCATCCTCCCAGTTGTCCCTGCCTGAAAGGAGGAGGCAGTTCAGCCGAGACTTGAGATAAACCTTGTGCTCCAGGCCCCGGGGGTTTCGGATCCGGTGCACCCTCAGGATTCTGTCCAGTCCACAGGAGGCTAGGAGGGGCTTCGAAGGGTGGCACTGCAAGGCCCGGACGCTGCCTGCCAGCCCCTTCAGACAGCCCACGAGGCGCCCTTGCCGAAGGTCAATTTCTGCCAGCTGCCCGTGAGTGTTCCCCACGATCACTGAATTGGCCCCAGGAGTGAGGGTCATGGCTGTTAGGGGGTACTCTCCATACATGGCCTCTAGGACCGGACGGCGCTGGGGGGAGGCTGGATCGTAGACACGGACCTGGTGGTAGCCAGTGCAGGTGACAATCTTCTGTGACTCAGGGAGGAAATGAATGTCCTGCTCCCAGATGGGAACCCGCAGGTCAAGCCAGTCATTCCGTACGTTCTTGGCTCTGAACACAGGCTCCTCGGAGCCCTGTAGGTCCCAAACCTTCAAGGCATTCTCTTTCCCTCCAGTGGCAACCACATGGGGATGTGCTGGGTCTTGACGCATCTTACACACACTAGGGCCCACCTTCAGCTCCAGAAGTGGTTCGGAAGACTCCTCCTTGTCATTGTCACCCCAGACTCGAAGAATCCCAGACTCCACACATGTGATGAGGTTGCTATCGGCCTGAGCGAGGCCTCGAAACGTGCCCTCTCCACCTGGGCAGTGTCTCTGGCCCTGGAACGTGCCCTCCTCCGTGCTGAAGCTCCTCACCACGCCATCTGCACAGCCCACCAGGATCTGGGTCTCGCCGCCGGAGCCCCAGCACAGGGTGCTGGTCGCCTCCTCGCGCCTCGGCTGGCCGGTCGCTGTGAAGTTGGCAGCCTGCTTGCGCTGAAGGTTCACCCCTTTCAAGATGCCTGTCTCGGTGCCAACCCACACGTGGTTCCAGCGCGCGCCGGCGGCCGCCATGACAGCCCGCGGAGCCCTCTGCAAACACCTTTTTAAAATCACAAACGATTTGCGTATGTACACACACTACATAAAAAAAAAAAAAAAAGTCAACCTGAAAGAGTATGGAAATTTTAGAACAATATCACTAATATCACATGCAAGTAAACTCTTGCTGAAGATTATCTAAAAACAACTGAAACAGTACATTGATAGAAAACAACCAGAAATACAAGCTGGCTTTAGAAGAGGCCGTGGCACCAGAGACATTACGGCTAATGTTAGCTGGATCTTGGCTGAAAGCAGAGAGTACCAGAGGATGATTGTGTTTCACTGATTATGCAAAGGCATCTGACTGTGTGAGTCACAACAATCTGTGGCTAATCTGGAGAAGAATGGGAATCCCTGAACACTTGACTGTGCTCATACGAAATCTATACTTGCACCAAGAGGCAGCTGTCAGAACAGAACAAGGAAAGACTGTCCAGTTCAAAATCAGGAAGGGAGTGGTCCTGTCTCCATACCTTTTCCATCTATATGCAGAACAGATCATTAGGGAGGCTGGGCTTTAGAGGAAAGTTGCATCAAGATTAGAGGAAGATTCAGTAATAACCTGTGTTATGGAGATGACACAACCCTGCTTGCTCAAACTGAGGATCTGAAGTGCTTGCTGCAGAAGGTCAAAGACTGCAGTCTGCAATATGGATTGAAGTTCAATATCAAGAAAACAAAGATTCTCACCACTGGGCCCAATTGGCAACACCATGATAGATGGAGAAGAGATGGAGGTTGTTAACAATTACAGTTTGCTCAGCTCCACAATCAACACTCTTGGCACCAGCAGTCAGGAATTCAAAAGATGAATTGCACTTGGAAAATCTGCTGTCAGGGACCTCTCCAGAGTACTGAAGAGCAACAATGTCAGTCTAGAGACTAAGGTGCGCCTGATCCAGGCCATGGTCTTCACAATTATGTGCTCTGCATCAGAGAGCTGGACATTGACTAGGGACAACCGAAGAATTGATGCCTTTGAGTTGTGGTGCTGGAGAAGTCTTGAACATACCATGGACTGCCAAGAAACAAACAGGTCTGTCTTGGAGAGGGTGAAACCAAGTTTCTCTTTGGAGGCGAGGATTTTGAAGCTCCATCTCACAGACTCTGGGCAAGGAGGGACCAATACTTGGAGAGGGACGCCATGCTTCGAACGGTGGAGGGACAGTGCAGGAGAGGAAAACCCTGGATGAGATGGACTGACACAGTGACGGGGGTAATGGGGTTAGTTGTGTCGAGTCAGTGAGACTGGCCCTGGAGAGGGCAGGGTTCAGAGCTTGTATACACAGGTCGCTATGCCTTACAGGTGATCTAACAGCACCTAGCAACCAGTGGGAAATATGTGTGTATGTGTGTGCATGGACACATACAAAATGCCCTACTGTGAGGAAGCCCCTGTCCTGCACCCCAAATACTACAACAAGATGCTAGATAGCAACAAACGGTACATACACGTGTGTACATAAAGCCCTCTAGGAAAGTGAAAACCAGAAGACCCAAACAAAAAGGTGGGGGTCTCACTTTCCCTTTTTCCAGGGGGCTTCAGCTGGTTTTGGTTTCATCTGCTTTGTCGCAAGAACTTGAAGAATTCGAGAAACAGCACAGACAAGATTCCAGGGTGCAAGAACAAAGGAAGGAAAGCAGAGACTTGTCCAAGAAGTAACTGGAGACCGGTACATCGTGAACATAGGCCCTCAGCAAACGGCTTATGATACGGGACTATCCCCGGCAAGAGGGAGGGGGAGCAGACGCCCCCCCCCCAAAAGGCAGGAGGATCAAACCCGCCAGCTGCTCTGTGCGAGAAAATGGACAATCTCCTCAGTGCGATTAACTGCCTCTGAAAACCCTCTGGAGAGGCAGCTGCGCGGCGTTCTGACTCCGCAGCACAGTAACAAAGAGAGAGTGACCACCGGTCACAAACTACCTGACACCAGAATGGGGACGAGTCCTCTCAAGAACTACACCGACGACTTAGAGCAAATAACACACACTTCCACAGCTCTGATGAGAGCCCGTTTCAGACCTGGGCAGACATCTAATTGGAGAGTGTTAAGTGGGAGGATATAGTCATTCGCAGACAACCAAGGTCTCAAAAACACAGAATCAAGCAAAAATGTCAGAATTTCCAACAGCTGTGCTTTGATAACGGAGAGATGGTTAGACTGAAAAGGAAACTGGAGAAGGAACAGAAATCTCTAAAGGTGTGTGTGGGGGGATTTTTTCCAAAATAAATTTGTTCCAGCACGCATACTGGGAATAAAATGAGTGGGTGTGCGAGATGGGACATTTTCAGGGGAAAATGAATTGGTACAAAGACTACCAGGCAAACGAGCATACGAGGACACCGTTAGCTTTACGGTGAGAGAGAACAGGACGGGAAAGGGGATACCTTAATTACGTTATTAGTGGCCACGGTACTGTTAATCCTCGAACATCTGCAGCACGTTGGGGTGAGCAAAGCTGGGGTGAGAGTGACCAGTAAGCCCTCACCGACATGGTGGGAAGGCAGAAGCTAACAGAAGCAAGTCGCTGAGCAAGGTAAAGCCCACTCTTAAGCACTAAGAGGCGGTGACCCAAACCAAAGCCAGACACGAGGGAGAGGTGGTCGTTGGGCAAAGAAAAAGGGATTTCAAGTGTTGATAAAGGCCATTATCTCATTAAGGCTCGCTGGAGGGGGAGAAGGGAGCTCTGCTGGCACAGAGAAGAATCTGGGCTCCAACCCAAAGGTGGGCAGTTCGAATGCACCAGCTGCTCCTCCTCGGGAGAAAGATGGGCACACAGTCCTTTGCCCTGCGATTTTCAGCCTCTGAGAACCTGCTGGCAGGTCACAGCCAGAGTCTTCGTTCTCACTGGCGGATGGGAGGAGGCGGCACAGAGCAGCTGCTCAGGACTCAAGGTCTGAGCTATCCGAGGGGCCACTTGCAAAAGGGTGACGGCGAATGTGCCCCGGCTGCGCCTGGGCTGGTGTGTCTGTAGTGCACGTGGCTCACACGACCACCGCCAGGACGGACAGGCAGGCTTAAATGCCTGTGCATTATGACTATCATAAGAGGCCGGAATGAGGGTTGCAGAGGGGAGTATACTTGGGGTGGGGGTGGGGACTGTGTACAAATGAAGGAGTTTGTCTTTTGCTTTTCAAGAAGAGGAGCGAACTGGGGGAGAGGGGGGGAAAAAGTGCAACAATGAACGAACGGAATTCCAAAATCTCTATAGATGATCACTTAAGTTAATAATAATAATAATAATAATAATAATAATAATAATAATATGCCTGTGCCAACAGGAGCAGGCCTGCTTTCGTTCGATGCACTCACTGGGACCCCAGGACAGGACAGGCGGTTCTGCCCATCCTGACAAGTCCCCGGGGGCTCCAACCTCTCGGACAAGCGCTTCAACTCCGTGCCACCCCCCTTTAGGTGACCCTTCTCTCCGGGGTCAGAACCGGTTCACCGCCCTGCCGAGCGGACGGGAGGGTGCGTGTCCACTCCAGATGGACTGACTCCGATCCTGTCCCTCTAGGACCCGCTCGGGGTTTAATGCTTTTTCAGCAAGGGATCCCTCTCCCCCACTTTCTACAGAGAGGCTGCCTCCCGCCACCACCACTGATGGCACTTGGTCCTGCACAAAGGACCGCTCGCCGTCCTCACCAGCTGCGCTTGCGGGCCCCCCGGGACTCCACCCCGCCCCCGGGGACCCCACCCCGCCCCCCGGGACCCCACCCCAGCGGGCCTTCCCAGGACAGATCGGAGGGCAGGGGAGTGTCGGGCGCCCGGGAGCCCGTGGGAGCGGGAAGGCCCGAAGAAGGCGGGGCGCGAGGAGGTGGCGCGATGTGGCCGTTCCCGCGCCTTCCGGGCCGCGCGGCCGGCCGGAGGCACCCCGTTCTCGCGTCCGCTCCCCTCTAAGGAGATCCGGACACCCCTGGTGACCATCGACTCTGCGCCGGCGGGCCCGCTACTCACCCGTTAACGACACCGCCGCCACTCGGTCCCGCGCGCGCGTCGCGGACTTTAGAAGCACTTCCGGGTCAACAGGCCTGGGCCTCCGTACTGCGCATGCTCGGCCTTGCCGGAAGTGCGGGAGAGAGGCTCACACTGTCCGCACGAAAGTGCGCGTGCGCGTTGTCCGCGCCGTGAACTCTCGTTCGGCTCCACCCTTTTGGGCCTGGTTCTCGCGAGAGAAGCCGATTGGAACGGTCACCCTGAAAGGCTATCATTTCCGCTCCGCCTCCTTCCTTCCCGTTAATTAAAGGGCGCCAACAGTCGTGAGGTTGCTTGCCTAGATCCACTGTATTCTGTGTTGTCAATGTCCACTTGCCCCCCCAGCCTTTGCACCGCAGGCTGCACCTGCCTGTTAACATTATGCCCGGCGGAGGTGGCGCGCAAGCGCATTAGCACGGGCAGGACTTCCGGGGCGGCGGGGTGCGACTTTTTTGGCGCTGACAGCGGCCGGGAGTGCTGCGGCCGGGACGGTGGCGGCCGGGGCTGGGCGTTCTCCGTCCCGGCGGCGACATGCGCTACAACGACAAGGAGCTGCAGGCGCTGTCCCGGCAGCCGGCCGAGATGGCGGCCGAGCTGGGCATGCGGGGTCCCAAGAAGGGCAGCGGTGAGCGGACCCCCAGGGAGCTGGGGGGCGCGGTGACCGGGCCTCGGCGGGGGGTCCGGGGTAACGGGGTGCCCGGGCGTGGCCCACGCGTCCTGAGCCCGCTCTGCACCCGCAGTGGTCAAGCGGCGGCTCGTGAAACTGGTGGCCAACTTCCTCTTCTACTTCCGGACGGACGAGGCCGAGGTAAAGGTGCCGGTGGGGGGCGCGGGGGTCTCGGGGGCCGGAGGGGCCAGCCCGCCCTCGGCCGTGGGGTGCCGCCCCCTTAAAGCCGGAGCGCGACGCGGCACCTGTCACCACGCTCTCCCGCGCCCGCCTCCCGGGACCCGCCCCCAGCTGGGGGGAAGGGGGACCCCGCGCCCCATCCGTGGTCTCTGTCCTGCAGCCCATCGGAGCCCTGTTGCTGGAGCATTGCAGAGTCAGCCGGGAAGAGCCCAGCGGCTTCTCCATCAGTGAGTGGGGCGGGGGGCGGGCCGCGGGCGGGCGCTGACACGCGGGCACCCCGGCTCCATGAGCACCCCCAGCCCGATC